GACACTGAACATAGGCCTCACACTTGTTAGACAATTGCTTTACCAATGAACAGCATCCCCAATCCTTTGATTTTTCCCTTTAACTACAAATCAGGTTCCTTTTTAGTTCTGTTCACAGTTTTAGCAACTCTTTCTTTCCCTAGTTCTCTGACAATATTAAAGCAAATGTACGAAGTCTTTTTCTCCTACTCTACTTTTAAAATTATTTTTGTGATACGAATAATCAATCTAAAATATAAAACACTAGGCGTCAGGCACAGTGGTGCATGCCTTTAATCCAAGAACTAGGAAGGCAGAGGCTGGTGGATCTCTGTGAGTTCATGAAAAGCCTTGGTCTACACAGTGAGTTCCAGGCCAGCTTGGAAATGAGGTCTTGTCTCAGGAAGAGAGCGACTTAGTCCTACAGTTGCAGAAAATTGTGCAAAGTATAAAACATTGGGCATCAAGATGGCTCTGAGGGGAAAGGCACTTGCTAGTTTCATCTCTAGAACCCACAAATAGAAGAGGAGATATAGGCATGAAAATCAGAAGTTCAAGGTCACCCTTGCTTATAAAGTGAATTTAATGCCAGCTTGACTCTGTCTCAAATAAACAAGAGACTAGCAAAACAACTTAAGGGTAAAGGCACCTACCACCACACCTGACTACCGGAGGACAGTCTCCAAGACAGATGAGGTGGAAGGAGAGCCAACTCCAGAAAGCTGTCCTCTTCCCTCCACTCCCCCATATCCTGGGAAGCATGCATCACCTCACTCACATAAATGAATTAACTAAAAATCCAGAAGTTCCATTAAAAACCAAACAGGCCTGGGGATATAGTTCATTTGGTAGAGTGCCTGCCCAGCCTGTTTAGCAGGCACAGGACCTGAGTTTGATACACAGCACCGTATGTGTAGTATACCTGTAATCTCAGCTAGGAAGACAAAAGAAACAGGGCTTGCTAGTCGTGGTGGTGCATGCCTTTAAACACAGCAGTTAGGAGGCAGAGGCAGGAAGGTCTGTGAGTTCAAGGCCAGCCTAATCTACAAAGTCAGACCCTGTGTCAAAGAAAAAAGAAAAAGAAGAAAAGGAAGGAAGGAAGGAAGGAAGGAAGGAAGGAAGGAAAGGAAAAGAAGGAAGGAAGAAAGAAAGAAAGAAAGAAAGAAGGAAGGAAAGAAGGAAAGAAAGAAAGAAGGAAAGAAAGAAAGAAAGAAAGAAAGAAAGAAAGAAAGAAAGAAAGAAAGAAAGAAAAAGAAAGGAACCAAAAGTGGATGGGCATCCTTGACTACATAGTGAGTTCAGGGCCAGCTGGGATACATGGGTCTCTTTGTCAAAATAGAGATGATGATGATGATACTTATTTATGGAGTTTTGTTTATAAAATGCCTGGAGCAAACAGAAACCTCATTTTGAGCCTTTTCTGTGTGTGGCATTGGCAATCCAGTCCAGGGCTTGGCTTGTGCTACTATGCAAGCACTCTACCACTGCACTCCACATTTCCAGCTCTCAGCCCTCTCACATGCTTCTCTACATTTCAAATGCTCACAACATCTCATCTCTCACCATTTTTAAAAGAGGAGACTCAGATTCTGACATTCAAGAATTTGGTTGCAAGATGGCTTGTGGCTGTGCTGATTTCAAACACACTTTCAATCATGCTCAACTGGCACTGTACCACAATTGTATTTGAAAAGGATCATCTATACATTCATCCAGAGAATTGCTGTCACTATGCACGTTTGGCTTTTGATAGATCTGTAAGCTAAAATAAACAAAAACTGCCGTGTTCAAAATCTAACCTCAATATGGAATAACAAAAACAAAGAGCTTCACTTGCAGTTTTCTCATTTTCCAAGTTAAGTTCGGCAGCAAAGAGTAATTCATTTAGAATGTACAACTGGTGTGTTAACAACAGTCTCCAGTGTGAAAAGGACCCTGGTTAACATTTATAAAGTGGAAGGGGCCCAAGTTGGCCAAAAGGAAGAACATGGAAATTCTGCCCACAGCCAGAAGAACAATGGACATAGATTTGTGAAAACAAAGAACAGCTAAGGGAGGGAAGACAATTGTCCAGCCCTTGTTATGCTATTTTATGACTGTTTTTCCAGTGGTCAGTTTCCTATTCACTTTAACAAAGAAAAAAGATTAAACGAAAATAAATGTAACATTTTGCAAGCTTATATTATCCTTTGGCAGAAACAAATAAATTATTGTGTTCAAAGTCCAACCCCTGGAAACAATCTGGCGTCATCTGATTGCATCAGCAAAGCTGCCCTTCAGTGCTGTAGAAGGGATTCTCAAGACTTATTGTCTATCTTTGGTTCAACTGCAAAGCTTTAATGTTAATAAAGGTTAAATTAAAGCTCTGGGGATCTAGCTCAGGCACAACGCACTTGCTTAGTGATTTATTTACAAGTCCCTGAATCCCACACACACAAAGTGGAACATGCGGAATTGGTAGGGAGCTTTCTTACCATGCAAGGATCCCCAACCTGATATAAACTGGACATTGGGTGCAAGCAAGCCAGTGATCCCTGCCCTGGGCAAATGGAAACAGGAGAGCCAAGGCCAAGGCTGGGTGAGTGTGGCAGAACCTTTAATCCTAGAACCCAGGAGGCAGAGGCAGCCTGATCTACATAGTGATGTCCAGGCCAGCCAATACTACATAGAGACACTCACAAAACAAAACAAAACAAAACAAAACAAAACAAAACAAAACAAAACAGTTCTGACCATCCTCATATCCTCAGTTACTTAATGAGTGTGAAGCTAGACTACATTAGACCCAAACTCACCCCTGAGCCTCCCAAAGGAAAACAAATAGGTCTTTAAAAATGTAGTTCTCTTTAGGCTATTGTTGTGACCTAATCAACATATTTCATGACATTTCATAACAGAATCTTGGTTCTCACATTGTTAAGCTGGCCTTTGGATGGTATGTCAAAGAGCTTCGTTGAGACCGCCAGGAACCAACATCACTAACTGGAATAGATGTTAAAAATGTAACCCTTGATTTTAAAGTACAAAGCTGGAAAAACAAGCAAAACAAAAAACCAGGTCCTGAACATAAGCCACAAAGAAGTGCCCAGAGCACTCTTGATTTAAACACTGTGTGGGCACATTCACCTTCCTGGTTAACGGTGGGCAACAGGGCTTCCTGACTCTCCGTATTTGTCAAGCCTCACTCAAGTGCTGTTTTTTTATATGCATGGTTTGGTTTGGTTTTGTTGATAAGCTGAAAGTGGGCACCAGCAACAGTGTTTTTCTTCTGTTGCTTTCTCTTGCTGTAGTTAGTTTCATAGAGATGACCGTGAAGTGGGCTTTGCTTTTGACCTATGTATGCAATCACATAACTCAGACCCAGGTAAACAAAAAACAAAAAACAAAAAAAAATCCCAAGCTTCCAGAACAAATGACTAACACAAATCACACATCGAAGGACTCTCTGCTTATTCAGACATCCCCTAAGAGCATGTCCATTATGGTCGGGGCTTCATTTTTAAAACCTTAGAAACTACCACTGCTTTGCAACATTAGTGAATTTTCACAACTTTACAAAAATAAAACAAACAAACAACAAACAAACAAAACAAAACCTGTCTATACTTTCGGTTCTGGGAGAGGCCACTTCCTATGGCAGGTAGCACACAACCTCCAGTCACTTTGCAGCTGAGTTTTAAATGGGTGAATTTAGTGGCGTGGAGAAAATGTCTGAGTAACCTTAGAAAGCCTTTGGCAATACGACCTTAGAGGGGGTCGGCGTCTGTGAGTGTTGGGAAAGGGACTGGGTGGGAATTGAAAGTTTGAGCAGATCCTCTACAGCACAAAAGAAAAGTCTCCCGAGGTTCTGGAAACATGTGCACAGCTCCAACAAAACAAAACCCACCCAGGTTCTTAGGAAAGTGGGAGGCACACCCGGATCAGTCAAAATCAGCTGGACCACTGTGCTTGGTGGGATCCCCCTGTCCTACGGTCTCACGAGCCCGGGCA